TAACAAGGCTCCTCAGGCCAATTAAAATACAACAGACATAGAAGTGGTCAGGATTATATATATATATATATATATATCACACTACACTTGAACAACTGTTTTGACGTGAGCTAGATTAAGCTAAACTGTAATTTAGTTTTATTTCAGTTCTAATTAAATTATTACATATTAGAATTAATTCATGATTTTTATTAACATCAAATTATTTCTTTATCTTAACATCAAACTGATTATTATTACTTACTGTTACTTTGTAAACTCTGTTTATCCTGTTTATATAATTAGTAATAATTTATCTATTTCTTTTTCAGCTTGAACATCAATGAAAGACATAAAAATGGCCATAAATCACAACACAATGCCATGAAGAGAAACATAAAACTACTGCCATTCATCTCAATAACTCATATCAAAAGTTGAAGATAATTTTCAAACACATCTGCAGATATGTTATAAAGTAAAACATTCTCTTTCTCTCTGTTTGACAAGTATAAATGCAATTTTTAATGATATGATAGACTGGCATGCATAAAAAAACAAACACTGACTGATCACTGTACTAAAAAAAGCAATACTTGATAAAAAGTTCTTGGAGGCCATAACAGCATAAACAGCAAGTAATAAATTAAGGGTTTTCAGTTTAAAAACAGCAATATTAGCTAAAGGTGATGTCAAAGAGAAAAACTGAAAAATCAACTACAGAATAAAAGATTCACTTCGATAACTGAAATTCAAGACATTAGAAAACATCTCAAGTCAAAAGTGGAGCTATCAGTCATGGAAATTATGTGTAAGCTAGAATGCTGAAGCAACATATAAAATAAGGAAATGTAAGCTACAATGATGAAACAATTGACATCAGAGCCAAGATATGAAAGAATTAGAGTCTGACTTAAAGGACAGGATAATGTGATGCAACTTAATCAGATTACAAAAGTTACAAAACTGATTTAATTGACAGAAGAATCAGGTGTTAGATTTACTTCTTCTGTTAAAGGTTGCCGTATGAACTGTGGAGCAGTTACAAGGTAGACAACCAAGATTCCATGACAAACTAGAGCCATTCCTAGTATGTTTCCTAAAACTGCAGCTTCTGGCAAGTCCTTGTAGTTCCTAGAGAAAAAAATAAGGTCACAAATTACAAATCATTGCTGATTTACAGCATAGGATAGAAACATAAAAATGTATCACTTTTTAAAAATAAGCACAAGAAATGTTGGTATTACTCTTTAAAGTTTACAGTATTCATAAAGAATAGAACATAACTGTTGATCTTAACTTACTTGTTAAAGATTAGTTTCTCTGTAATCCCTGTCAAAGTAGATGCTAGTCCCAATATATAGATCAAAACTCCAAAATACACATGAAATGGAAGGTACAATGCTCTCCAATAAAGAGCCAATCCAGGAAACAAATATGACACAAATCCACATACAAACTAGAGAAAAAAAATATAAACTTCAATTTGTCTTAATATTCAACACAGTTCTTATTAAGTCATATCATACATAAGTAGGAACTAAGTGAATGAAATATTTCTGTGGTTTTTAATAGGATATACAGCAAAAAAATTCAACTGAGTGCCCTTTGTGATATTAACGAGTGTCAAGTTTTTAACTGACAATTTACATTTTATATGCGTACTTAGGCATAAATTAGAATTCCTAAGTGTTATTCTTGAGGACAATAGCAATAAGTACATTACATCAGCAGAAATAAGAACAGTCATTAGAAAATACTTACTCAACAAGCACACTTGCATGAATTAAAGTACATGACTTTGTGTTAGAATCATAAGGACACATAATGTTGTTGTGAAACTACACAGAAATGAGTATGTTAAAAACTTGTTTTAAAAAGTAGAAAGAGCTTAGCTGTGAACTATTTCTCTACACATACACCTTTACTGGATTTGACATGGAAATATATTTCATAAATATAAAATGTAAATTGTCAGTTAAAAACTTGACACTCGTTAATATCACAAAGGGCACTCAGTAGACCACATACTTCTACCATGCAGCACTGATCATACTTGGCTCTCAAAAAATACAAAAATGTGTCTGTATGCCCATTATTATTAATGGACACAAACCATTTTTGGCTGGACAATGGAGAATAATATTCTACATATGTCCACCAAGTTTCATCAAAATCCGATCACTTTTGACTGAGTGATATCGCAAAAATAGTGTTAAAAATTAGTCTCCATGTTAATAGATAGGAATTTTTTGGATATTTATCACCTTGCTGTGACCTTGACCCTCCAAAAAAGAATAACTTCTAAATTGAGTCATAGTCCAAATGCATACCAACTTTTGTCCAAATCCATTCAGTAACTTTCGAGAAATCTTGCTGACAAACTCACCCATAAATAGAGGGGTGAAAACATAACCTCCATTATCTTTGGTGTTGGAGGTAATGAATTAAAGAGCAGATATAAAATCCATTTTTTGGAGGGTTGAGGAATATGTAATATTGTTTATTTCACATATTATAGGAATTGTTTTAAGATGATATCTAATCCCTTTACTCATCTTTATGGAGGTATACACCAGTGCGAGTTTAACCAAGTTTGGGCCCCTTTGCTATAAACAAAATGGTTCCCCCAACCTCACCACATACTTTTCCATTATGACTTTTATCAACAATCAAATTCATAACAAAACTCACCTATATGAAAACCAACATGATGAAACTGGGCAAAAACACTATATGGAGTCTATCTCTAGCATCATGTCTCGCAGTAGGCTCACATGTTCTCAAATAGAGGCTTAATTAAATTTTTCACCAAAAAAGATAAAATTTTTATAAATGATAATGTAAATTTAATGAAAATTAAAGAGGCCAACATTTGTGGACGAATGCATCATGTCTCTGCCACACAGTCCCAACATGGCCAATTTTGACACCAGAAAACTGTGGAAAACACAGAAACATTTAAAACTGTTTATATCACTGCTTGGGACCTGCAAGAAGGTATATTTGTACCAAATCTCAAGTATGTAAGTGTGGGTAGGTTTCCTGTAGACTTTTGTGGATCTGAAGTGGAGGTACTAGTGAGTACTGGTAGCTTTATGTAGATGTCTGTGGTGGTAGTGGTGAGCATGGATAGGTTTCCTGTAGACTTCTGTAGAGATACTGGTGAATGTGGTTAGCATTCCTATAGACTTTTGTGAAGGTACTGATGAGTATGGGTAAGTTTCTTGTAGACTTCTGTGGATCTGAAGTGGAGATACTGACGAGAGTGGGTAGGTTTTCTGCAGACTTCTGTGAATTTGAAGAAGACGTGCTGTTGAGTGTAGGTAGGTTCTTGTAGACTTTTGTTGATCTGAAGTGGAGGTACTGGTAAGTATGGATTTGTGTCAAATTCTAACATGAAGATATTGCAGATAATGGGTAAGAGTGGGAAACCCATTGTCAAGCTACTGGTCTCTTCAAAGAAGTTATCCTAAAACTAGAAATAGGTGGTGCTAAGGCAGTAAGGGAGGAGTTTCAAGATAATATTGACTGTTAGGTTTGAGCATCTTCCAGGTTCCATTGGATAAGAGTACGGAAGTCCAGTATTGGTATGTTTCAAAAACATATTAGTGATGTCAAAGCTGACCATTAGATCTTCTGAGCCAATGGAAGTTTTGTTGACTTGTCAGGGAATGATTAAGAGTTGGTAACATAAATGTTGCTGTTGGTTCTGAGAGGTGCAAAGCAGGTTTTGGGCTAGTTGGTGACAAGGTAAGTCTACAGTGCATGTGATGGATCTGAGTGGAATATTACAGTTGTTAACATTAGGGAGACTAAATAGCTGTGGAGCTTTGCAACCAATAAGTTTTTATGTTGAAATGATGGAGTTTCAGTTTTTTATATTAGTTTGGCAGTTTTCTTTTCCAGTTTTTATGTTGAGTCTTCTTTTAACATATTACATTGTTCATTTATAATAATCTATAGTAGCTTGTTGTCATCAGTCATCCTTGTTTAGTAGAACATTTATTTATCCTTTGGTCAGTGCGAAGGATTACAATATTGGAGTTGACCTGGTGTTGGTGTTCTGCTTGCTGCTTTTTCTTTTCTTGGTAGTTTTGTTGGGGACTTTTGTGCTGTTTCAAAGCTGTGGGGGGTGGCAGTTCTTGGGCTTCTTTCTGTATTACAGCTATGAAGCAAATTTTGTAGGTTTGTTTGGACTCAGAGGTGGTATTTGTTCAGCTGCTTCATTGAGAAGTCTGGAGGAGAAATTATATACCAGAGAGAATCATTTTGAAGAACTGTCTTTGCTTTTTTGAATCAGTTTGTCCATTTTCTTGTCATTTTGTGACTTCATGAAGACTCTACTTGGATCTGAAGCTTCTAAGTGGTGTACAGTATTCCCTGCAGTTTTGAAGAATCTTACGTCAGTGAAACAGGTAGAACTATCCAACAAAGAATCAAAGAACATGCAGATGCAAGACTTATATTTTTTTTGTTTACTTATGTTTGTTGTAATGTTTACTTGACATACCTGTTTTGGGGTTTGTTTTATTGCTGTCTTATTTTAATTCACTTATTGAGATTACAGTATTATTATACAGTGTACCAATTTGCTATGTTATATGACTACCTATACAGTATATAAACGATTATGCTCAACGCCTGGGAATAGCAACTGGCAGAGCTTGAATTCGGTTGTTCGTTATCTGGTTATTGATCCTTTGAATAATGACTTCCTATCAGATACGACTTTTTTATCATGACAGATAGGTCAGTGGTATCCAAGAGATACTACTATATCAATTTTCAAGGTAAAGCCTCTTCAGTGGTTTTTCTTTTAATGTTACAAACCACTCAGTCCTATGAAACTTTAATTTTCATTTTAAGCTTTTATTATTAGTAGTAGTACTCAGATGTTACCTGTCAGTAGACTGATGAATTGATCTTTTCTTTTTAACTCCACAATAATTTCTTTAACTTTAAAAATAACTAGAATAATCCAATAACTGAAAAACTCTACTTGTAACATAAATATCTTACCTAACATAACTATCACCATACATAGATGTCTCTAATATCTCACCTGTAAACTAAACAGAACAACAGCTGCTAAGCCTAACCAACTGTGGAGAGAAAACATGTTGGGTATAGGCTTTACTGCCAAGTTGTGAGAGTCAAATACTGCTTTCAGTGACACAACTGTAAAGATAAATACCACCGTGTGTATTCCTGCATGGACCAGTTTCAGTATTTCCTTTCTTTCATTTCGCAGCACTCGGTACACAAGAATAGCTAAAACATAAATTATATTTCATATTATTACTGCACATGAATTTTCATTACATAAAAAAGATAATTTCTTAGCATTAATTGATACTGATATTAGGATAATTAAAAATTATTAAAAAATCATTAGAGATCAGTTTTTTTAACAATTAGCAATAAAAAATCAGTTTAATTTGAAAAATATTTTCATTAGGTTTTATAGAATAATTCAAATTAAAGGTGGTTCAAAAATAAAACTTTGTACACTGGTATTCTTGAAGTTTTTTCATACAATTTCTTTGAACAGCAAAGCTACTTTACCTTTTTAAACAATAAAACTCCAGGACCTGAAAACTGTTTGACACATAGAAGTATTAAACATTTTCCAACTTGCAGAATTAAATTACCACTTTATAAAGATACAGTTGAAATTTGCAAAGAACTGCCTTAGTCTTGATTATTTTCATTTTCAATATTTTATACTGAGGCCTTTGTCACAATAATTTTTGATAGAAGCATAAGAAACAGCATTCTTATATAAGTTATTGTGAATGTTGTCATTTGAATGGTATTTGATAAGAGTGGTTGCCTGTTTGTTGTGTGATGTCATCATTGTGACTGGATTTATTAGAAAGACTAGATGTCAAAATGTTGTGCTGACCTCTAGGCCTTTCTGAGAAATGGTTAAAGAATTTTGGTGTAGAAGGATTATTTGATTTTTCTGATTTCCCAGGTTTGCTTTTGTTCATGATTTGATGTTGGTCTCAGTTTATGATGTGGTTGGTCTGATAGTCATGTCTGGTTAAGACATGTAGATTTTTTTAAGAGTAAGTAATTTTGTGGAATGTTTGTGTTCTTTTACTATTTTCCTATTATTTTTCTTGTTTCCCCTATGTAAAAGACATTGCAAGAGCAATAATCCTTATAGATAAGTTGTTTCTGTTTAAATTTCCTGGTTGGTTGTCAACATGAGCCTGAGTTTTTAGGTTTGACATAAGCATAGATGTTCAACTAGTGGTTAATTATTCTAAGTTTGTAGCTAAGGTGAAATATAAGATAGGGGAAGAGATATTTTCGATTTTTGTTATATAATATTCCTATAGTTTGTCTCAAACTGTAGGCTGTTACATCCAAAACTTTTAACTCGAAATTCAATTTAATGTATAACAAACACTAAAATATGCATAAATTAGATACAAAAAAAGTTTTTCATACAAATGTTTTAGAATTGTTGAAAATAAAAAGCATATCATCACAGTAATGCCAAAACCATGCATGTCCAAAAGCCTAATTTCAAAGATTCGAAGATACAGGGTTTTGAAACTACAAACATTATTTCAAGTGAACTACATGGTTATGATAACATGAAAAATGTATCTTTTCTAATTGAAAGATGTATACACAGTTTTATCAGAATAAGGAGAGACTTATCCTGGGAACATGTAAAACACAAATCTTGAAAAAATGGGCTTACATGGTTTTGACGTAGATTGAAATTATTTACAGATATTTTACTAAATTTATTCAGTAAGCTTGGACTTACTTTTACTCAATTAATTAAACTATCAAGAAAAAAAATCATTCATACATTTATCAAGCCTTCCCTTAAACTCCCTTAAATTAACTGCATCCATCCCAATGCAACTGGTTCCAAACACAACCACTATGTTAGAACAATAAAGTTGTCTTAGATGAAGGTAGCTTCTACCTTCCTAAAATGTATATTCATGTCCTACCATTCTCAACATTAAGTTTGAAAAATATGATGTATAGACACTAACAATTCCCCAATCTTATTCACTTTAATCATATTCCCTCTAACTCTTCTTATTTCAAGAGAAAACAATTTCACAGATTTTAACCTGACCTCAAATGAAAACCTTCCCACCTTAGCTATCATCCTAGTAGCCCTAATCTGAACCCCTTCCAACAATTCAATGTCCTTTCTAAGGTAAGGAGCCCAAGACTAAATACAATACTTAAGAATAGCCTAAACAGTGACCTATACAATGGAGTTCAGTTAGATTTGATTAATGTCACAAGTGAGGTACCTCATGATTCAGTGTTAAAACCTTTGCTCTCTTTGATTGACATCAATAACATATGTGAAGGAATGGTAAATAAATTACTTAAATTTGGTTAATATATTAAAACAACCCTCCATTTTCTTCCACCCAGCCACTTTTCTATATGAAAAGCCAACTTATCCTTCATACTTAAAGAGATCATTAGTTTAACAGCCTTTTATGTGGAAGTTTATGAAATACTTTCTGAAAATCCAGATACACCAAATCCACACTCATACCCTCATTTATGTAAGTAACCTCTTCAAAGAATGCTAAAAGATTAGTAATGCAATCATTTCTTCTAGTGAATCCATACTGACTATCAAAATAAATATTTGTGAAATGACTTTGCAAAATTTCTTTTATCAGATTTTCAAAAACGTTTCCCACTACTGATGCCTACAATCACATGGACAATTTTTATCATCTCCCTTGAAAAGAGGAGTCACATTAGCCAACTTCCAATCTTCTGACCATTGTTCAAGGACTTACAAAAACTAGCAGCAAGTACCTCACATATCCAATCCTTAACCTCTTTCAAAACCTTTGGGGAAATATTATATAGCCCAGAAGCTTTATCATTCTTTAAAATTCTTGATTTTTTTCTGAACAAAGTTAGATATAATGTGATTATCTAGTTTTCAAAGTTGTTTCCATCTATCAACTGTTTAGGAGGAAGAATATTGTTTAAATATTCATGGGTAAATGTTGAAGAAAAAGTAGTCATCTCATAATCATCAGATATAAGTCTTCTTTTGTCATCCCCCAAACTCAACAGCCCTTCTCCCATCCTAACCTTTTGCTTATCCATAATGTATTTGAAGAAACCGTTACTATTAATTTTTACATTTTCAGCCAACCTTTTTTCCGTATAGTTTTTCAATTTCCTAATGTACTTTGTACAACTTCTTGACCTTCTATAACTCTCTAAACCTTCTATCATAGCAATCAGCTTAAACTTCTTAAATTTATAACACTCTTCTTTAATCTTATTCTTTATATCATTTGTGAGTCAACCTGGTTTTCATACTGGGACAATGTTTATTATCTCCCTTAAAAAGAAAAGTGACAATAGCTAATTTTGAATCCTTTGGCACTTGCCCACTATCCAAAGACTTAAAGGAAAATAGTACGAAGTGGTTCACATATCCAATCTTTAACTTCCTTCAAACACCTGGGAAAATATTATCTGGCCCAGGAGCTTATCATTCTTTAATTAAACTTCATAATTATTTCTTAAGAAGCTGTTTTAATGTGATCATTATGTTCAATATTGTGTCCATCCAGCAACTCTTCAGGACAAGGAATATTGATTCAATCTTAATTAGTAAAAATTGAACAAAAACTACAATAACCAAGTTATCTCATAATCAAAGGCCCACTCCCATATTAACATTATACTTACTCTTAATGTATCCGAAGAAGTCCTCACTGTTAATTTCTACATTTTCAGCCATCCTTTGTTCACATACCCCTTTAGATTGCCATAATTTCCTGTTTAGTCAATTCTCTTGATGTACTATAATCCCTTAAGTTCTCTCATCATAGTAGTCAATTTAAACTTATTTAGTTTATAATGCTGTTCTTTGACTATCTCTTATACCTTTGAACCAAACTCAGGTTTTTTCTTTACTTGCGGCCATACCTTTTTTTTATGTTATAAACATCAATTTAAACTTTACATTTCTTTGGAATCTCTAAAAAGAATGGATGCAAACATGTGCGATGTTAAACATTTTACCCACTTACACAATATAAAATCAGACTTTAAAAAATGCCAAAACTTAAATTAAACAAAACATACTAAAATTTTCAGCTGATATTACGGTCTTGGGTGTTGCTAGTTGTGAAGAGGATGCTGCTGATTTACAAAAGGATTTAGATCATTTAGTGAGTTGGGCAAATAAATGGCAAATAGGTTTTAATTATAATAAATGCATGATAATGCATGTGGGTTATCATAATTTGAATTATAAGTATAATTTGGATGGCAATAATCTTAACAGTGTTATGAAAGAAAGGGATCTTGGTGTAATGGTTGATCAGTCTCTTAAGCCATCCAATCAATGGAATGGACTGCCTTCGGATGTTGTGGAAGCAGTAAATTTAAGTGAGTTTAAGAGAAAGCTTGATAACTATATGAATGATAGGGGCTGCCTTTAAGATTTTTAAATTGTTTTTAAATTTATTTATTTAATAGTTTGAGTTCTTTTAGAGGATGGGACAGGTGAGATGGACCAATAGGTCTCTTGTTGTCCCAAAACATTATCTTATGTTATACTTTATCCACAATCTTAACTTTCATGTTTATTTCAAAACGTTTTGTCAGCAGACCATATCATATCAGTTTTCTTTATATGTCGTATGACACACTGAAACAGAAACAAACATTCTTACATATATATATTTCTTTCTGTAAGAATGTTAGAAAACATTTACCAACTATTCTGGTATTCTTTATAGTATTATTAGGTTCAATCAACCTGTGTGAAACAACTAGTAAGTTTAACGCTTACCATTTCCATATAGGAAGACTAGTCCTATGACAATGAACAGCGGGTGGTAGTTAAACTGCAAACGTGGGTCACTTTGCCAAGCAAACCCACCAAAATAATGACCAGTCCAAGCCCCAACCAGTGCCACACACAAAACTCCCACTACTTGACACAGAATAAATCCCACAGTAAATATCTTCAAGTGCCGAGACTGGTCTATGGGGGCCTCCGTTCTGTTAGGTGGCTTGGGACCACTAGCAGTACTTGGCTCGGTGGATTCTGTTTCCTCTTTGGATGAGTCTACTATAAAAACAAACTATAATTTTAATATAATAAATTAAAAGTAGCTTGGAAGTGGTCAGGTAGACAGACGGATATTGGAAATGGCATTGTTCCAAACACTTGATACATGACAAAACATTTAGTCTGTTAGATAAATTACAAATATCTCTGGTGCTTATCGTATTATCTAACACAAACATACAGAGCAAATCTGATATTCTACAGCTAAAAAAACATAACATGCTAAGCAAGCCAATGGCTGGAACTATGAATAAACAGCTAAATACGCTAAATGACTTAATTAATCACTGTGAAGAGCCATTACATACCTTGGTGACAAAATGTGATTGAAAATTTATTATTAGTTTATTTTAAATGTGCATCTGTGTATTATTGTTTATTTCTCTTCATTACAGTATCAAGTTCAGACATTTCTACTTTCAAGGGCTCATAGTGTTTTTCAGGTTGAGAGATTTTCTCAAAGATATTTTCAACAAACAAATTTTACAGAAATTCGCTTATCAGGAGGCTTCACTTGATTTACATAGTTCAATATTAATACATTAGGAAACTTCCTTACATTCAGTGAAGGTCACTACTAATACATATCAGGAAATTTCTTTTGATTCCCAGAGTTCACTACTAATACATTAAGAGGCTTTTCAGACTTCGATAATAATACATCAAGAGATTTCTCTTGATTCATTACGTACGTGTAATGAAGAAACATGAATGAAGAGGAGTTATTTATGACTAGATTCTTTTTCATGTTGGAGATTTCATCATTTTCTTGTAATGTCTTCTCAGATCAGAAAGATCCCCAACAAACTTTTAAATGTGAAGAACAAAATGCTATTTAAATATTTCTGTCCATTTTATTTGCCCATCTGATGAGTTTCCCAGAGTAGCATAGCCCAACAGCAATTTGGAAATTATGTAGGAATCTTACAGTGAATTGAATGACTCATTTATTAAGATATTACAAAACTTCCACATATATCATGCTTCACATATTCCATAAAGCTTCTGATATTTAAATCTTCCTCATATTAATATTTCTAGAAAAATACTTTTGAACTTGTATTTTATGGTTCTATTATACCTGTTGCTCTGTGGGTTGATAGTTTTTTGTTTCTAAGCAACCAACATCATCAAAATCTTGATCTTTCAGAATGCTGAATAATTTTTAAAAATTTTTTTACTTTAGAATTATGCCCGAGTCAAAATGAAAATTTCCAGATCTTATCCTGAAGGTTTCCATTTTGATTCCAACATAATTCTAAGACTGAGAATTAAATAATCTTTTATCTTAAAAAAAAAAAAGATCAATGATATAACCTTTTCACCAATGAAAGAATTCTACATGGATAAGTCAATGATTAGATTTTTTTTTAAAGTTGCTGAAGTAACTTGTACTGCAATAGCTCATTCATTCATACAGAATCTTTTTCCTGGAACACTCACAGCTGCATCATTTGTTTCCCTGGTCTAACAGATGATGAAAGTTTAAGCACCTGCACTTAATTGTGCTACGTGTACATGTAGGAGCCATTAAACCTCTCTGTATGACAAACCCTGCTGAATAATGTACCTTTACCAACATGTTGTTTTGGAAAGAACATTTCTAAGACTTGAAAAAACATTAGCATTGGGAGTTTAAAAAGATGTTTGAGGTAACATTAGGAAAACATGAAGTACAGATTGCAGTATTTCTAATGAATAAAATAATCGGAGGTTGTTTTTAAAATAATTCACCTGCCCTTTCGTTTAAGGGTTGATTTTTTCCAGTCAATGAATGAAGAGTAAAAAAAAGATAGGAAATAATTGATGGTACTGTTACATAGAATGTAAATTTAGTACACAACACTGGCAAAAAAATATATATCTAGTATAATGAAAATAAACTTATATTTAAAAAATATTTTAAAAATATTCACAAATTAACTGCTGAAAATAATGTTTAGTGAGGTAATTATTAAAATAATAACTTGCCTACTGTAAAAGTAACTTTTATTGTGTTTTGAATGAACTGCTGAAAAATTCATTGGAGTATTAATTGGAGTGTAATTTCTTATTTTTATATACATTTCTTACTGCTTGAGGTAGAAACAACAATTAAATATGTTATACTGTTTTTAATACCTAAATGTTCTGTTCTTACAGGATCTTAAGACCATAATATTTAGAGAAAACAAAAATTACATTCATACCAAATGCATCTCCTCCCTAGATATGGTACATAAATGTTTAAAGGTAGATTTAATTTCACTTTAGATTTCAGCATATTGTGATGCTGTTGCATAACATCTTTATTATTATAATTGGTTCTAGTTACAATTTTTAAAATATATTGTAGTGCTCTATACAACTAGTACTGTTCTGATTATTTTGTCTTTAGCATTGTTTTAGTAATTCAAATGCCACATTTTTTTCTAAAATCCAGAATAATGCAAGTCTAATTGAAAGAGTTGGAGAATTTCTAAAAAAAAACAGAAAAAACTTTATGATTGAAATGGTTGGAATTGATTCTGAAATTTCAACTAGAATGAACAAACCAAGAAAATATTTGTTAAGAATTCAGGGAAAGCCATTAAGCAATTAACAGGTTACTGCCTAGCATACACCTAAAGTTTAGGCTTGGATACTTAACCTATTATTTCAACTTTAAGTTCAACATTCTGATACTTTCTGCATAATTATAAGTTTATTTCTAAATAAAACTAGGAAGAATTAATTCCTTTGTAAGAAAATGATTTAAACTATGTTACAGTGACATTTCTAGAGCCAAGGATGTAAAAGACCATTTCCACCTTCCTAGTCATTAACGAAACAACAGACTTTAAACTATAAAAGTAAATAATGTATCAAACATTAAAATCAAATTTGAAAAATGTATCAAACATATTCGACAAGTAAATTAATTAACATATTTTGTTTCTTACCTAAAAGAACCAATTCTGATATTTTAAGCAATTTCTAAAATGAAAGGTAAGTTAGGATGATTATGAATTATTAGCATCTGTACTTATTGTAATGTTATTCATTCATTTCAGGATGAATCATCCAAAGAAGGTGCCATAAGCAAGTTCTGATGTATAGTGAATAGGAAAGGAGAAACTTTTGAAAAGCTTTCTAAGGACATGGGAAGCATTGCAGGTGTTCTGCACAGAAATACTTCAAATAACTGTGGATTCATTGATGCCATTTAGTGTAAAAATATGATTAGGCTGAAATAAAGAAAAAAGTACTACTTTAACTGAGTTTAAGAAACACTGTACAACTTGCTTTGAGAATGAAACTTATCATATTTACTGATACAGGGCTTGTAGTATCAGCTTAGAAGCATGGAATAATCAAAATAGCCGTCAATGACTCACCTCCTTACTCGGAAACAGAGGCGTCGCTAGGCGCTGGCACACGGGGCCCTTGCCCCGATTCTGTTTAAAAGTGCTCCGAATCATCAGTTGGTATCTTGAAAAATTAGAATGGAAAACCATCTTCTTTCCAGATGGATTTTAGGTCTTTTTTGTGGTGTTTAAGACCTGGGAGAGTCAGATGCAATCTAAACCTCTTACTTCGATCTTGACGATTGTTTAGTTCACATTCCAGGAAAAACTAGCAGAATTAATACACGAGGATCAGTGTTTGTGCCAGGATTCCTGGGCATGTACCCTGACCCCTTAATAAGGCCATGTCCATGTAGGTAATTACAGTTGTATGTTATACGGTGAATATGCTCTCTCTTCATTAGTTTTGTTCTAAAGCTGTACCGCCAAATCTCATCCGGGGGATAGAATTTCGAAGCTCTGTCAAATAGTGAAATACCATCCCTAAATTTCATCCCATCGTATCTTTCAGTGTCAGTTCACTATGTGTCCATTTTGTATTTTTTTCTTTTCACTTTAGGTTTTGATCAAATATATTTCATGAGTACTATTTCATGTAATATAATCGGCCTATTTCTCTGTATTATTTATAAAATGTGCTATTTCTAAGCCTACCTGAACAAACGATTTACACTAATATTAATAATACTTTACGTGATACTAACAGTAACATTTTCATTTGTAAAATGTTATTTAACATTCGGTTATTTATTTACAATGAAATTAAATTATCAACTCTTTATCTAATGACTTGTACTCACATAAGACTAATAGTAATAAGAGTAAGAGTTAGTACTGATACGGATAGTTGTGTATAATTTAATACTCCTACTAGTAAGCTTACTAATTTTTTTATATTAGTATTAATATTTTTAACATGTAACTTATACTATTGTATAAGTAAATATTTTTTTCATTGTGTGTTATTACTTTTATCCCTTAGCCAGCCAGTTCTATTACTCGATGTTAGTAAGAAGTATTACTACTCAAAATTATGAACTTCCGAACCTAAGACTGGTGTAAAGTTGTAATTATCAGTATAATATTTTCTTTCCACCTTGCACACACTATTGCTTTGACATTTTACTATTCCTGTGTTCACTACATAATCATGTGCCTTTATAAATTTGTTACAACTCAAAATCTATTCTAAAATAGCAGTAAAATGTAAAGTTGTAATTGCTTGAATATTATACTTTTCACTTTAAAGTTTAAGTCTAATTACACTAGTAGACCTATGCTATACTATAACACGTATGACGTTTTATAACATTTCGTCATAATTAGAGTATACTCAAATAAACTTAAGAAAAGCGCGATTTTTACTGAAACCGAAAGACCGTTTAAATTATAATATACTGTTGAATATGTACTGTTATAATCCCTCCACCCTGGAAAAGCTATAATTAACACTAACTCTTGTGACAAAACGAATGACAAGCATGGTGTACTGCTCGTTTGTCAGTTGATACTGAGTGAAAGTAGCTATAGTATTTACGAATTAAAATAAGTATACGAATAAAATTGCCCTCATAAAAGTAAACAAACAATACCAGATTTCTATTATAGTGAAAGAAATAGCACTAATATTACCTAAAATATTCTATACAAGACACATAATTTAGAAATTTGAGA